GAAGCAGAGTGCCAGAAAATGTTTACAATCGTCTATTCACTTGAAAACCTGCTGTTCCCCTCACAGAGTTTTGTCATCTTAAGCAAAAGTGGAATTACCAGTGAATGGAAAAGTTAATAAGGTATCATAGTTTAAGCAATAAACGAAAATTTCTATGAGTTTGGCAAAGAATTAGATGTTCTTTTATTTTGCACTCTAACAAGATGGTTGTTAAAATGTATTTTATAGATTAGGTTTTAATACAACTTTTAATTGGGCATCCTATGTATTAAGTGGATTGAAGCATTTGGAAATTCTGCTTGTCCTCAGAAACACATATTGTCTGTCCTAAATGGCAGCTGCCGTGTGTTGAGGGTAAGTTCAGATATAAATAGACAACTAACAAGAATTGCGTAACTCTTAACTGCCAAAAAGATGTTTTTGACAGCTTTATTGGGATAAGACTTTCATTGCAGGATTGGTTAAAAAGTCACTATTTGACATTTCAGAGGGGCAAGAGCCTTGAAGCTATGAGAAAGGCGATATAAATGACCAAAGTAATATAAAGAAAAGGCAAAAGCTAGAAATATGAAATGAAATTGTGAGTCTCTTGCCGCCCTCTTGCACTTTAGGCCAACCTAGGGACGAAGTTGCTTTTTAAAGAATACATTCTTTACGCGTTTAAAAAAGCCGTACTTTATATGAAATAATACACACGATGAAAGGATAAAATTTGCATTTCTGCCCTGTACAAGTTTTTTTCTCTTTCATAATTCTCAACTCATTCATCCTAGTTTAGTTTGTTTCAATATCCTTTCCAAATGATTAATAGATTGCAGATATCTTAAAAAAACTTGGGCAGGATTCGGATTGAGTAGGTTTGAGGCCACCAGGTCATACAAGGTGATTAAGGGCTGCTTTCCCAAAGGTATTCTTATCCTGGCTGGACTAGTACGTGGTTCCGCCGTCGTCTAGGTATCCTCAACACTCCAACAGGAATGCCACAATTGCTTTGACATGTTACCACCATGTCACACTGCCACGAATGCCAGTAAGCTCCGGGGCGGATGCGAATTTCCAGGCAAGCCAGACCTCGCCCATATCACTCGATTTTGTAGTGAAATTGTTGATGAAGAAACATGTATTTGCCATTAATACCAATTCGATAAGTTATATTAGGAATTGGTAGATTTCTAAACTACCACTAGATCGTGAATAAAGGCTATATTTATCCAAACGAGGTGTAACGGCAATCCAGTCTGGAAGAGAATACATTTGGGGAACAAGGATATGTAAAATTGAGTGGAAATATGGATAATTCTCACAAAATTGTGGGAAAATTCAGTCAGTCCTACCTCACATGATGTGACAGAGTGACTGTAACTCTTATTAAAGGTCTACTGGTAATCTCGGAAACCACTTTATTTGTACCAATCTGTCACGGTCACTTGTCTTCAAGCTCGCTCTATGAGAAGATAGGCGAACTAGTGAGAATGCTGGAATAAAAATAGTGCTCAAAGAGACTCCGACCCTTTCTTTGGCAATGACATCTCTTAGAGAGAAATGTTGCCTATGTTCAAGATCTGGCCGTTACAAGTTTGTGCGCTTCTGTGGTCGACCTTATGTTGGTGAGACATACTGGCTTATTTTTCATATAGAATTAGAAAGTTAAGAGAACACAAAATGCCTATAAAGTCAGTAGTGGGAAAACACATGGCATAGGCTGGACATGAGATATAGTGGTCTCAAGCGAGTAGGTTTGCTGATTATGGTACATCGGCTGTTAAGAGGAAAATAAGAGAGGCCGTTGCAATTGATAGATTAGGGGATACGCTGAATGTGAGAAACGATGGTAGAAAGTTGAGCAAGAAATGCTCACGGCTGATTGAAAGAATGAAGGAGAAGGGGTGTTGAGCTACTGTCGAAAATAGGGCTACTCAACTTGTCTGCTCAATGATGCTTTCAAATTCACTCACACTTGTCAAACATGTTGGATGTTGTGGCCTCTGGTATGGTGGCAGTCTCCTTTCGATTTAGAGAAGTGGGTTGACCTCGTTGTCACAAGTTGGTCTTGTC